TTTCAGGCTTTGAAGCAGCACAGTTCAGCTGGGATTCATTCTGGATGAGGACTCAGAGGCTTCCAGTCTGAGGAAACAAGACCAGCTGAGAAGTTGGCCAGGTGAGGTTAGCTGTGGCTTGTTCTGTCTCTCTGATCTACCAGCATTGACCCCAATAACTGGCCTCGGGTTTAATTTTATTAATAAGAAATGTTAAGATTCATGTTACACCAGAGTATATGGATGACCACCAATACCAGCTTTTGTCAATCAGTACCCCAGATGAGAACTCCTGATACCTGGAAGTTTATTAGCTAGAAATTCAGTTTCTTAGTAGGATGCCTGTCAGTTTATGTAAAAGGAATGAGGCTTCTGCAGGTATTGTGGCCTGAACACCAGTCTGGCTGGAGCCTGACATTAGAAGTGTGAGTCATGTTTTCTAGAAATAAACACTGAAAGATTCCTTTAAATGAACAGATGACATTGTAATATCATTGGAATCTATCTTTATAGTTTTCCAATTATAAAATGATACGTGTGCTTTCATGATTTGAGTCCCCTCTAAAACACAAGTTGAAGTTTAATCACAACTATAATAGTGTTGGCCTTTAAAAGATGTTTAGACTTTGAGGACTCAGCCCTCATGAAGGGTTAGCATGGTTTTAAGTTAGTTATTGCCAGAGTGGTTTGTTATAAAATCAAACTCAGCTTTGTTATCCCAGTTGTTGCTGGCCTTTGTCCTCTTGTTTTCTGCAATGGGGAATGGAATACAAAGACTACATGTAGGCACCATCCCCTCTTGGATGTCCCAACTCTTAGTTTATGAGAAATAATCTCATTTTTAAATAAATCACCCCATCTCTAGTTTTCTGTTATAGCAGCAGAAAACCAGCAAATAAAGCAATTTTTACATGAAAAGTAAAGATTTAGAAGTATAAAAAGCAAGAGAAATACCGAACTTTTATACAAGAAGCAACTACTTGATACTTTAATAGGAGAAACATCAGATCTTTTTAAAATATGAAATAGAAGCTTTTTAAATGGGCAAACCAACTATAAATGGTTTAATCTGGGATTGGGAAAACCTCATCCTGTGCATTATTTATTTCTATGAAATAATGACTGGTTAAAATAGGTTAACTTTTTTATTTTTTAGACAGGGTCTTACTAGGGAGCCCTGGCTGGCCTGGAACTCTCCATTTGTAGGCTGGTCTCATACTTATAGGTATCTGCCTTCCACTGTCTCCTCAGTGTTGGGACTAAAAGTATGTACTACCACATCTGGCTAAAAGTTAATATTATTTTCGCTACCAAAATCTATATAAATCAATAAGAAAAAAGATTAAGGTGCTTTTTGAAATATGAGTTGTGAGGGTATTTGATGTTGTGAGGATCGGTTGAAGAAAAGAAAGAGGATTACTTCAGAATGTAATTTAGGCTCTTTGGCAGCAGGGGGGAACAGTTTCCATGAACTGAACCCTGAACAGCAGTGCAAAGTCGTATTTATTGATTGTTACACAAAAGTTTTTTGGGTAAAACAAGTTCCTCATACCAAAGCCCCTGACCTAATCTATGTTTTCTGAAGGAAAACATCACACCCCTGCCACTTTAGTCCTTATTGTATACTGTTACCCAGTAATGCAAGATGATCCAGGAGTGCCAGGACCGTCTTGTGACCAAAGCCATGCAAAGACTGTAAAGCTACTTCAGAAAACTCTATAGATAACAGAAAACAATCACTGTTTTCCACAATGATTTCTTCGAGTCTAAGTACTTCTAGAAAACATCTGTTCTGATGTTTACCCTGGGTACAATGGAAACAACTATTTCATTCTTATGTTTGCCCTAGATATAATGACTCTACTAATTTTTTCTCTACAGTAAGCAAATAACCAAGAGTAATTTACAAGAAAAGGTACAAAAATATTCTATGTATAAACTAATGATAGTAGTACTCAAATTTTTACTATTCAGATTTGTAACAAACTAAAACAAAAACCCCAAATCAAGATTATATTCAGGATATGAGAGATGATGGAAAACACTATCTTTGTACACTGCTAGTGCCAGCACATATGAATGAAACTTTCTGGTGGACAGTTTGATAATATCTATTAAAAGTTCTAAAGCACTTATCATGTAAACATAGTTAGGCTACCTCAATGCTAATCTTTTTCCTTAGAAACAAACTTGTTGCTTTTGCTCCATTTCCCCAAACTCTAAAAGCCTTGTTAAACATTAACTTTACCTTTCCTGTTCAAAGACTCAGGGAAGATGCCATAATCCTTTATACACAAAGTATCTCTACACATCTCTCTTGCTCTTCACAGTTACCCACTGAAAGCTATCACAAGTCAAATAAAACCTTCTATCTCGCAGATGTATTCATCCCCACATTTCTTCAATGCAATCCCTTGCTCTCCCTTCAATATTCTTTGGAGCTACACATGTGCAATGTTCTGTGAAATAAGGGCTCAGTGTTCTTTTTAATATATTTTTATTCTTTGAGAATTTCACACAGCATATTTTATTTCTTCTGTTTTTGAAATTATGATATAATTCTGTTGTGTCTATCTCCCTTCCATTTCCTCCTCCAAACCCTCCCATATACCCATCCTTGTTTTCTTTCTAATTTGTGACTTCTTTTTTTCTTTTCTCCCTCCCTCCC